TTCATGGTAGAAGATTATGTGGGAGACAGTAGCTGGTGTCGTCTGCACGGCGGTGATTGGTGTCTGATGGAAGGTAACAGTGAGCACTCGTGTGACTTGTTGTCTTGCTAAACTTTTCAAACTTTTACTTATTTTATCATCTTAACTTTGAGTTTCGTTTTAATATATGGAGAAATAATATAAATAAAATAAATAAAAATGATTGAGTGAAAGAAATCTATCAGGTGCCATATACCTGTAACTTTGTCGTAATAAATATTTAAAACCTTAATGAAAAATCGTCGGTACAAATCGGACATGTTTTGAAACAGATACACTACCAGGTCATAAAATATCTTCTTAACGATCTTGTGAAACATACATGACTAAGTTTATACACATAATAATACTACTGATACTAAAACTAATACTGATATTAATAATAAAACATCCATAGGAAACTTTTAGTGTTTGTTTGACATACTGTAATATGACAAAGACTATGGCAGCATGTCGACCTGACTCTCTTGCTAAGCCTGACGTACTGTAAATAAAGATTGTAAAGAAATTATCATAGGCTTATATATGATTGTATTTTTCTGGCTAAATAAACTGTACCGTCATCGTATCTGAGGGTTGGCGAGACACGGATTCATTATTCTGTCCATAAATGGTTCGGATTCACGAGTGTGAATCTCGGGGTTCGTGGTTCGGAAGGAGAGGCGACAAGACCGACATGACAAAACTGTATAGCGAATTTCGTCTTAATTGTATATTCCAGTCAGACCAAACGCACTCACTCATGTCTGTCTGTTTCCCGCTACACACCACACGACTATTTGACAAATCTGAATATCAACGTTGCTTGACAAACGACACGCTGCTGACTCTGTCCTGACACTTCCGGCCACACCCAACCTTACTGGGTGGTGTTTGTAGAGCGATGACTGTCTCAAGACACTCAACCATCGATCACCAACATTACACTAAGTTCGTCCCTGAAAATCAACTCTGTTAAAAGACTAAATATGAGAATAAAGCGGAAGTAAATTGTTGAGGTGATGTATACAGACTTAGGTTCCCTGGGCTGCTCTCTTACATCCTGAAGGAAGTCGTGTTGTTCTGTTTTCGTCAGGTTGACTCATACAAGGAGCGAGGTTGTGTTGACGGCCGCCACTCTTGACCCAGGACCCAGAAAGTGTCACCATCACATTAGTTACTTTCATCTTGGGAGTTTGTGAGCCATAAGTGTGTCAATCTATTCAAGGTGATCGGAACCAATTCTCTTGGGTAATGTTAACTATCTATCTATCTATCTATCTATCTACCTATCTATCTATCTATCTAATGTGGACGATGGAAAAAATAAAGATAAAGGGGAATAGAGATTTTCAGATTTTAGTCGATATATCTCACACCTGAAGGAAGGTCGCGTGAAGTCATGACACCTGACGATAACTCCGGCGTAACGACCGCAGCTTCCTGTCCTGCCGGATACTCACCTGACCTTGGTGCAACGCTCAGAGGTTTGGGCTACGTTATAAATATTTATTGTCTTTTCATGTGATTATTCGAACTGAAATTATAGGATGTGGGTTTGTTTCTGTCGTAATTATCGTAAAAAAAAACACAACAACTGAGGGAATACATTTTGTAGAAAGTAAAACCCAAGAAAATTTGACTATTCTCCAAAAACGAACGTAAACCAACCCAGTTCTTACACTTTAATCAGTTCCTCATTAACCATCATTATAGAAGCGTGATAATCAGCTTCACCTTTTCTTCGGTTCATCACCACCCGCCAGACACAATGCTAAAGACGTACACAACATTGTTTACTACCAGAGTTACTACACAGGAGAGTTACCTCTACTGAACTGAGTGTTGCTTATCGTTACTACCACTGATCCCAGACACAGCCATAGACGACCCTCCGCCCTCACAGCACCAAAGATTTCTGGAATGGAAGTCTTACAATTAAGAGTTCCGGTCATACGGAAACCATAACTTATAATATAATTGTTTATGGTGAAATAACTTGCGAATTTCCAATTATATTAAATTGATTTTGAAATAATAGGTAGACTGTGAGGAATTATGTGAGGTGGTACCTGCTGTGGTCTCACGTATGATTACATAGTCTGTGGAACTCTCCCCTCCCGACATATTCAAAGAGTTAAGTCATCTTACACTAAGGGTTAAGTCATCTTACACTAGGGGTTAAGTCATCTTACACTAGGGGTTAAGTCATCTTACACTAGGGGTTAAGTCATCTTACACTAAGGGTTAAGTCATCTTACACTAGGGGTTAAGTCATCTTACACTAGGGGTTAAGTCATCTTACACTAGGGGTTAAGTCATCTTACACTAAGGGGTTAAGTCATCTTACACTAGGGTTAAGTCATCTTACATCAGTGTTAAGTGATCTTACACTGGGGGTTAAGTCATCTTACACTAGGGGTTAAGTCATCTTACATCAGTGTTAAGTGATCTTACACTAGGGGATTAGAATCATCTTACACTAGGGGTTAGAGTCATCTTACATCAGTGTTAAGTGATCTTACACTAGGGTTTCATCTTACACTAGGGGTTAAGTCATCTTACATCAGTGTTAAGTCATCTTACACTAGGGGTTAAGTCATCTTACACTAGGGGTTAAGTCATCTTACACATCTTACACTAGGGGTTAAGTCATCTTACATCAGTGTTAAGTCATCTTACACTAGGGGTTAAGTCATCTTACACTAGGGGTTAAGTCATCTTACACTAGGGGTTAAGTCATCTTACATCAGTGTTAGGTCATCTTACACTAGGGGTTAAGTCATCTTACATCAGTGTTAAGTCATCTTACACTAGGGGTTAAGTCATCTTACACTAGGGGTTAAGTCATCTTACACTAGGGGTTAAGTCATCTTACATCAGTGTTTAGTCATCTTTCACTAGGGGTTAAGTCATCTTACACTAGGGGTTAAGTCATCTTACACTAGGGGTTAAGTCATCTTACATCAGTGTTAAGTCATCTTACACTAGGGGTTAAGTCATAAGGGATTAAACAGTGTATGAGAGGACAGTTGCTGTTATTAATGGAAAGAGGCAAAATGTGTGCAGGTCTTCAGAGGTAGAGTCCCCTTCACTAGTAAGTCTACAGAGGCTCATCATATAAACATTCCACAAATCATTATCTTTGAGATATTTGTTTTAATATTGTTTTACTTTGACTGTATAATATGTTTACTAATGTGAGTTTCCTTCTGTCGAATGTAAACAAACACAGGGCTGCCACACTGCACAAAACCTGACGATCCCTGTAAACTCACTAGTGAAGGGAACTATGCGTCAAGGATTGAACCTTTAATGCGTCAAGATGGTCTTTGAAAATATAATACAGAAACTTCTTATCAACCTTCCCAACTACTGTACTTGTGTTTCGAGGAGGTTGTGGATGACGATGATCTCCCTCAAGAAGTACTAGTGACTTGTGAAATAATCTACACTTGGAACAGAACAATATATATCTCGTACTAACAACACTATAGTATGTAACCATTATGAACCTCAGAGCTCAGTGACGCTCACCATCCCATTGTTTTGATATTGAATTTAACTCAAAAGGAAGACATAGAATTGCTGCTGAAAGTTCTCAATGATTCGAGTGACAACAACGCCAACAAGAAGTATAAATAAGTAAACAAATGGCCGCAGGTTCTTTCTCTTAGAGCTAAACCAAATATCTAGATCCATTTTTGACTACAAATACTTTTATAACTTACATCACTTTTAATAATCTATAGTGAATGTTACTTTTAATGTTGATATTTGTTTTTTATATAAATTTCACCCTTAATAGTTATTTTTATTTATTTTTTATTTAATAGACTATCTCAGGGACTGGATTTTACGGGAGTGAAATGCATGGGAGGGAATTATAAAGTCAGTGATATACATTGCTGAGCTGAATGACTTTTTGCCTCATTTACACACAATTGCAAAAGAAGAAGGAGAAGAGTCCAGTCTGTAAAGATCTATTTAGTGTTTGTGAGCATTGATAGGCGTTTATCCTAATTATATCAAAAAGAAAGTTGACAAAACATCACCATGACAAACACAGACATTCAAATCATAGGGAACTAAGTAAACCCGGTTTGGACAGACTGACAAAAACAGCTGAAAACAACGACCTGGACTGACTGAAGGTAAGGTTTAGATGTCAAGACCTGACTGACCTCTTGTCATTTTCTCACCCACCTAAACTAATTACTTTTATGAACCCGTTCACCAGAGAATGACTTGCATGGTGTATCTTGATTACTCAGTGAATGTGATATTATGTTTTGTTTTTTCGGTAAAATTTTAATATTTAATAACTGTAACTACTGTACATAGCCCCCAAAAAACATTATTAACCCTCTGAGGAACATGTTAGTATGTCTTGAAGGAACTTATTGACTCTAAACAGCTCTGTCTCACTTAACTTGTCTTATTACTCACCACAACATCTAACAAAAAAAAAAAATCTTCATGAATTTTCGACACCTGACCTGAGACCTACGCGCCCCACGATCAATTCCTTATTAATAACCGATTAACCCACGTGTGATGTTCATCAGGTGTCAAGCAGGTGTCCTTCAGGTGTCATACAGGTGCCCTTCAGGTATCATATAGGTGTCATACAGGTGTCCTTCATGTATCATATATGTGTCATACAGGTGTAATTCAAGTGTCATGCAGGTGTAATACATGTGCTATACAGGTGTCATACAAGTGTTCCTGAATTATCATACAGGGGTCCTTCAGATATCATATAGGTGTCATACATGTGTAATTCAAGTGCCATGCAGGTGTCATACATGTGCTATACAGGTGTCATACAAGTGTCATACAGGTGTCACACAGGTGCCCTTCAGGTATCATATAGGTGTCATATACTGTAGGTGTCAAGGAGACTCAACTTTCAGAATGACTCTACATAACATTTCAGTAATCTAGGTTATATCTCATCTGGGGTAAGGAAATCAACTTAGTGAAGGTGTTTAGTGGGAGGCGCCATCTGTGGGTACTATATAAGGACTTTAACGCACACATTCAGCATCACACTTGTTCTAGTCTTCAAACAAGTAACTTCTACAACCATGGTAAAGACTCATGGTGAACTGTCTTATTTCTATAGTAAAGTCTCGTGTAGAGTAAAGTCTCGTATACAGTAAAGGTCTCGTTATGGAAAGAGACTTATTTGTATAGTTTTCACGACAATGGTTGAATTACGTCATCATAATACTATATATTTTATGTAGTGATTGTTTACTTGCAGCGTGTGCTATTGGTCGTGTTGGCGCTGGTGTGTGGTGTCTGCTACGCTGCACATGTTGGCTACGGCGGTAGAGTAATTGGCTTCAGTAGTGGAAACTTCGGTGGAGTCGGTGGTCAAAGCTTCGCAGGCTTCAATAGTGGAAGACCCGGTGGACGCTACTATGGTAGAAGACACGGAGGCTTCAGTAGGGGAAACTTAGGTTTTGGAGGCTTCAATGGTGGAAGCATCGGTGGTAATGGAGGCTTCAATGGTGGATTCATCGGGGGTAATGGAGGCTTCAATGGTGGAGTCATCGGGGGTGGTAGTGGTAAGTATGACGTAACTCGTCCAAAAACAAGTATTGATATACATGAAATATACCAGTTTTGTGTCTCGCCGTCAGCAGCAAACCTTAAAACACCTCATTGTGGTCAACTTCAGGAAGGTCACACAAGGTCAATCACCACACACATATACATTCTTGCTTAAGATGTTACCTTAAACACACACACACACACACAAACACACACACACACACACACACACACACACACACACACCGGCTGTTTTCTCTTAATAGAACATATGTTTTAACTTGAGATAACAATTGGCATAACCTTTCATTCTCTGCTGCAACGGAAGCTTTATACATGATGGTCACAGATTGATGAAACATTGTTTTCACTCACTCACTCACTCACTCACTCACTCACTCACTCACTCACTCACTCACTGATAAAACTTTATTTCGTTGTTCTAGTAACTAATATGTGTTGTTTATGAGAAACATTTATGTACTAATGAATCTCATCTTTTAATTATGCGTACCTCACCCCGCTCTCTTCCCCCCTCCCTCTCCCCCCCCCACTCTCTCTCTCTCTCCCTCTCCTCCCCACCTCCCCCTCTCTCTTACCTGCCTCTGTTATATGTCCCCACTAATCCCCACTCTCTATCTCTCCCTCTCCTCTCTCCCCCACTCCCATTCCCTCTCACCCCCACTCTCTCTCACACTCTTCCCGTCTCCCACTCCAGGTTTCAGTGGTCATGGACACCACGGTGGATCGAGGTATTACGGTCAGTATATTAATATTTACATTTACATAATACTTTAATGATTATTTAACTGAATATATAATAAAATGAAATGACTTTTTATTATTAACAATGTGTTGTTTATTTCAGGTTACGGACGCAAATGAGATGGGTAACACCAGGCTGCCCCAGGGAGGACCAGTACCAGGCTTCCCTAGGGAGGACCAGTACCAGGCTTCCCTGGAGAGGACCAGTACCAGGCTTCCCTAGGCAGGACCAGTACCAGGCTTCCCTAGGGATGACCAGTACCAGGCTTCCCTGGAGAGGACCAGTACCAGGCTTCCCTAGGCAGGACCAGTACCAGGCTTCCCTGGGGAGGACCAGTACCAGGCTTCCTGCACTACTACGAGAATAAAACTCGTGAAAAATTAAACATGTCTTTTCATTATTGTTATACACTTATTAATGGTCTTTTATTGAATGTCTACAGCAATGTTATCTATGGTGGTATAACGGGTCTTGACTTATCTTGAACATGATGATGATGATGATGATGATGATGATAAGATGTTGATGATGATGATGATAATAATAATGATACGATATTGATGATGATGATGATGATGATAATGATGATAAAATGTTTATAATGATGAGAAGATATTGATGATGATGATGATGATGATAATGATGATGATAATGATGATAATGATGATAAAAAGTTGATAATGATGAGAAGATATTGATGATGATGATAATGATGATGAGATCAAGTTGATGATGATGATGATGATAATGATTATAATGGTGATAAGATGTTGATGATGATGAGAAGATGTTGATGATGATGATAATGATGATGATGATGATGATGATGATGATAAGAAGTTGATGATGATGAGAAGATGGTGATGATGATGATAATGATGATGATGATGATAATGGTGATAAGATGTTGATGATGATGATGATAATAATAATGATAAGATGTTGATGATGATGAGAAGATGTTGATGATGATGATATTGATGATGATGAGGATAATGATGATGAGAGTTTAAAAACACTGAGCTCATGGAGAAATATATAACGTATGAATTTAAAAGAAGAACTACTGTACGCTACTTATGATCAATACATCAATATAAGAAATCAAATCAGTTTTAATCTCTAATGAGACTTTTTAAAATATATAATAGAATTAGGTTACTGGTTTATGTATTATACGGTGTAGATATAATAACTCTGAACTTTTGACAGTATAGGAGGAGGTACCGTAGCCTAGATATGTGATGGATGTATCTAACTTTACTGAACATTAACTTCTTCAATGGTGTTTCTCTCTCTTACAGGTAGACAGGTAGTCCACTCATTAACAGGAAGGTAAATGGTATCTCTTTTTACCTATCTAAAACTAACTACAGTATTGACATTTTATCTTAAAGCCAGCCATGTTAGGAATAAAATTTACACTTTACATCTTATCATAATGGCTTTCTAACTTTATTCGTATTCCCAGTATACCTAACAGGGATTCCCATAAAAAGTGTTTCCTCGTGTGAACGAATAACTCAAGTTTATTTTTTCACAAGCATTTACACAACTCACTTCTTTCTGGCAGATCATTAAACATTCCGGGAAGATCGTCATGGAGGTTGGGGTGGGTAGGAGGCGGGACATCTCAGATAAAACCCACAACATTCCTCCCTCACCATCACTGTCTGTCCTCTGTTCGTCAACTACACATACAAACACACACACACATAAGCAAAACAATGGTAAACAATAAACATATTAGCTTATTCATTCAGTGTTTTAATGAAGAAATGTAATAGATTAATACTCTAATAGAAAATATCCCATGAGTGAAAAGGTTAATAGTTTTCTGTGTGTGTTATTTCAGCGTTTCTTGGTGGTGTTTATGGTGCTGATGATGGCGGCTGTAACACACGCAGGCCGGAGTTACGGTGGTTATGGTGGGTTCGGTGGCTTTGGTGGTGGCGGTTATGGTAGGTATGGCGGCTATGGCGGTTATGGCGGTTATGGCGGTTATGGCAGATACAGAGGCGACGGCGGCTTCAGAGGATATGGTAAGTAATTCTTCACACGACTTTTTACTTCAACCTACGAGGAACTAAGCCAAGCAATCCATAGCTATATTAACTCTCACCCGTGACAAAAATATATTTCACTTATATTAAACAATCAATCAGGTCAGTAGAGAACGGGATACTTGATGTGTTTAAATATAACTTAAAAAAAACTAAACATCTTTTGTCATAATTTTCCTTGTTTACTTTATGCATAAGGTAAATTAATGTTGTTGTTTACAGGTGTTTATGGAGGCGGGGTCACACGCTCTTTGTGAGGAGAGGATACGGTAAGGTGGATCCGTGTCATGTAGTGTATTGCAATATTTTAATGATTTAATAATGATCACCTGAACTTTAGCCTCCTACGTTTATTTCACCTGGTGATTAAATATCCTAATATTACCTGGGATGTTATGTTATGTTAGGGTTCAGGTTAAGTTAGATTAGGATAGGATAGGTTAGGTTAGGCTAGATTAAGTAACCGTTAGGGTGTTTAATCTTCAGGTGGAACAAGCTATAGGGGGTTAATAATCAGGTAATCCTGAAACATGATATAGACAGCTTATCAACACCATACCTACTCACACAAAACTTCAGGTAAATATAAATTCTCTCCTTGTTCCCACAGGTAACGGAGGACCTGGTAGCTATGGCAGATATGGTTAGAGAGCTTTATATTGTTATAGTTTGATACGGTATAAACATTACAGAAGAAATCCTAAGTCTTTTAAAAGTGAATGTTGGATGTTGATGTTAATTCAGATATTATCCTATATTAAGTCTATTGTTTCGTTATAAGTTTGATTTGTTTCGCTATTGTTTGTTTAGAGTTGATGAATATAGTGAATTTTTGTGAAGACTTGGTAAGAGTAGGTGTTGTTTGTTGTTGCAGGACAGACCTATGGTTGGTGAAGAGTTGGTGGTGTGTGGTGGAGCTTCGGGGGTATGTGGTGAAGCCCCGGGGTGTGTGTGGTGAAGCCTGGAGGGTTTGTTATGAAGCCTCGCGTGGCGTGTGTGATGCTTCCTCGTTACACTGCATAATGAAGCTTTGCCTCATCTGGGGCAAGGAAATCAACTTAGTGAAGGTGTTTAGTGGGAGGCGCCATCTGTGGCTATTATATAAGGACTTTAACGCACACATTCAGCATCACACTTGTTCTAGTCTTCAAACAAGTAACTTCTACAACCATGGTAAAGACTCATGGTGAACTGTCTTATTTCTATAGTAAAGTCTCGTGTAGAGTAAAGTCTCGTATACAGTAAAGGTCTCGTTATGGAAAGAGACTTATTTGTATAGTTTTCACGACAATGGTTGAATTACGTCATCATAATACTGTATATTTTATGTAGTGATTGTTTACTTGCAGCGTGTGCTATTGGTCGTGTTGGCGCTGGTGTGTGGTGTCTGCTACGCTGGACGTGTTGGCTACGGCGGTAGAGGAATAGGCTTCAATGGTGAAAACTTCGGTGGATTCGGTGGTCATGGCTTCGGAGGCTCCCATATTGGAAGACACGGAGGAGGCTACTATGGTAGAAACTTACGTTTTGGAGGCTTCAATCGTGGAAGCTTCGGTGGTCATCGTTACGGTAGATTTGATGGCTACTTCGGGGGTAGTAGTGGCTTAAACTTCCACAGAACCTCTGGTTTTAATGGTAAGTATGACGTAACTCGTCCAAAAACAAGTATTGATATACATGAAATATACCAGTTTTGTGTCTCGCCGTCAGCAGCAAACCTTAAAACACCTCATTGTGGTCAACTTCAGGAAGGTCACACAAGGTCAATCACCACACACATATACATTCTTGGTTAAGATGTTACCTTAAACACACACACACACACACACACACACACACACACACACACCGGCTGTTTTCTCTTAATAGAACATATGTTTTAACTTGAGATAACAATTGGCATAACCTTTCAATCTCTCCTGCGACGGAAGCTTTATACATGATGGTCACAGATTGATGAAACATTGTTTTCACTCACTCACTCACTCACTCACTCACTCACTCACTCACAGATAAAACTTTATTTCGTTGTTCTAGTAACTAATATGTGTTGTTTATGAGAAACATTTATGTACTAACGAATCTCATCTTTTAATTATGCGTACCTCACCCCGCTCTCTTCCCCCCTCCCTCTCCCCCCCCCACTCTCTCTCTCTCTCCCTCTCCTCCCCCTCTTTCTCACCTCCCCCTCTCTCTTACCTGCCTCTGATATCTGTCCCCACTCCCCCCACTCTCATTCCCTCTCACCCCCACTCTCTCTCACACTTCTCCCGTCTCCCACTCCAGGTTTCAGTGGTCCTGGACTCTACGGTGGATCGAGGTCTTACGGTCAGTATATTAATATTTACATTTACATAATACTTTAATGATTATTTAACTGAATATATAATAAAATGAAATGACTTTATTATTAACAATGTGTTGTTTATTTCAGGTTACGGACGCAAATGAGATGGGTAACACCAGGCTGCCCCAGGGAGGACCAGTACCAGGCTTCCCTAGGGAGGACCAGTACCAGGCTTCCCTGGGAAGGACCAGTACCAGGCTTCCTGCACTACTACGAGAATAAAACTCGTGACAAATTAAACATGTCTTTTCATTATTGTTATACACTTATTAATGGTCTTTTATTGAATGTCTACAGCAATGTTATCTATGGTGGTATAACGGGTCTTGACTTATCTTGAACATGATGATGATGATGATGATGATAATAATAATGATACGATATTGATGATGATGATGATGATGATGATGATGATGATGATGATGATGATGATGATAATAATGATAATGATGATAAAAAGTTGATAATGATGAAAATATATTGATGGTGATGATAATGATGATGATGATGATGATGACAAGAAGTTGATGATGATGAGAAGATGGTGATGATGATGATAATGATGATGATGAGGATAATGATGATAAGATGTTGATGATGATGATGATGATGATGATGATAATAATGATACGATGTTGATGATGATGATGGTGATAATGAAGATAATGATGACAAGATGTTGATGATGATGAGAAGATGTTGATGATGATGATAATGATGATGATGATGATGATGATGATGATGATGATAAGAAGTTGGTGATGATGAGAAGATGGTGATGATGATGATAATGATGATGATGATGATAATGATGATAAGATGTTGATGATGATAATGATGATAAGATGTTGATGATGATAATGATGATGTTGAGGATAATGATGATGAGGGTTTAAAAACACTGAGCTCATGGAGAAATATATAACGTATTAATTTAAAAGAAGAACTACTGTACGCTACTTATGATCAATACATCAATATAAGAAATCAAATCAGTTTTAATCTCTAATGAGACTTTTTAAAATATATAATAGAATTAGGTTACTGGTTTATGTATTATACGGTGTAGATATAATAACTGTGAACTTTTGACAGTATAGGAGGAGGTACCGTAGCCTAGATATGTGATGGATGTATCTAACTTTACTGAACATTAACTTCTTCAATGGTGTTTCTCTCTCTTACAGGTAGACAGGTAGTCCACTCATTAACAGGAAGGTAAATGGTATCTCTTTTTACCTATCTAAAACTAACTACAGTATTGACATTTTATCTTAAAGCCAGCCATGTTAGGAATAAAATTTACACTTTACATCTTATCATAATGGCTTTCTAACTTTATTCGTCTTCCCAGTATACCTAACAGGGATTCCCATAAAAAGTGTTTCCTCGTGTGAAAGAATAACTCAAGTTTATTTTTTCACAAGCATTTACACAACTCACTTCTTTCTGGCAGATCATTAAACATTCCGGGAAGATCGTCATGGAGGTTGGGGTGGGTAGGAGGCGGGACATCTCAGATAAAACCCACAACATTCCTCCCTCACCATCACTGTCTGTCCTCTGTTCGTCAACTACACATACAAACACACACACACATAAGCAAAACAATGGTAAACAATAAACATATTAGCTTATTCATTCAGTGTTTTAATGAAGAAATGTAATAGATTAATACTCTAATAGAAAATATCCCATGAGTGAAAAGGTTAATAGTTTTCTGTGTGTGTTATTTCAGCGTTTCTTGGTGGTGTTTATGGTGCTGATGATGGCGGCTGTAACACACGCAGGCCGGAGTTACGGTGGCTATGGTGGGCTCGGTGGCTTTGGTGGTGGCGGTTATGGTAGGTACATAAGAACATAAGAACATAAGAATGGAGGAAACTGCAGCGGGCCTATTGGCCCATACTGGGCAGTCCCTTTTACTACCAACCCCTATTGCTCATATAAGCATCCAACCTATGTTTGAAGCTATTCAGCGTATTCGAGTTAATGATGACATTTGGTAACTTGTTCCATTCCTCCACTACTCTGTTTCCAAACCAGTGTTTACCTATTTCACGCCTAAATCTAAATTTGTCTAATTTAAAACCATTGTTACGAGTTCGCTCCTGGTTGGATAGTTTGAGTACCTTTGTAATGTCCCCTTTGTTTAGCCCTGACTTCCACTTATACACCTTTATCAGGTCGCCCCTCGCTCTACGTCTCTCGAAGGAGTGCAAATTAAGATGCTTTAACCTGTCTCTATACTCAAGGTTCCTAATGCCCGGGATTAGTCTTGTCATTCTCCTCTGAATTCTTTCCAATGATTCTATATCCATTCTGTCATACGGTGACCAGAACTGAACAGCGTAATCCAGGTGTGGTCTCACAAGCGCTATGGCGGTTATGGCGGTTATGGCGGTTATGGCAGATACAGAGGCAACGGCGGCTTCAGAGGATATGGTAAGTAATTCTTCACACGACTGTATCTTCACCTACGAGGAACTAAGCCAAGCAATCCATAGCTATATTAACTCTCACCCGTGACAAAAATATATTTCACTTATATTAAACAATCAATCAGGTCAGTAGAGAACGGGATACTTGATGTGTTTAAATATAACTTAAAAAAAACTAAACATCTTTTGTAATAATTTTTCTTGTTTACTTTATGCATAAGGTAAATTAATGTTGTTGTTTACAGGTGTTTATGGAGGCGGGGTCACACGCTCTTTGTGAGGAGAGGATACGGTAAGGTGGATCCGTGTCATGTAGTGTATTGGAATATTTTAATGATTTAATAATGATCACCTGAACTTTAGCCTCCCACGTTTATTTCACCTGGTGATTAAATATCCTAATATTACCTGGGATGTTATGTTATGTTATGTTATGTTATGGTTCAGGTTAAGTTAGATTAGGATAGGATAGGTTAGGTTAGGCTAGATTAAGTAACCGTTAGGGTGTTTAATCTTCAGGTGGAACAAGCTATAGGGGGTTAATAATCAGGTAATCCTGAAACATGATATAGACAGCTTATCAACACCATACCTACTCACACAAAACTTCAGGTAAATATAAATTCTCTCTCTCTTCCCATAGGTAACGGAGGATTTGGTAGCTATGGCAGATATGGTTAGAGAACTTTATTTTGTTATAGTTTGATACATTATAAACATTACAGAAGAAAGCCTAAGTCTTTTAAAAGTGAATGTTGGATGTTGATGTTAATTCAGATATTATCCTATATTAAGTCTATTGTTTCGTTATAAGTTTGATTTGTTTCGCTATTGTTTGTTTAGAGTTGATGAATATAGTGAATGTTTGTGAAGACTTGGTAAGAGTAGGTGTTGTTTGTTGTTGCAGGACAGACCTATGGTTGGTGAAGAGTTGGTGGTGTGTGGTGGAGCTTCGGGGGTATGTGGTGAAGCCCCGGGGTGTTTGTGGTGAAGCCTCCAGGGTTTGTTATGAAGCCTCGCGTGGTGTGTGTGATGCTTCCTCAATACACTGCATAATGAAGACCTTACTTGCCCTACACCTGTATAATGATATGCACGTAGACATTATATAATACTGTAAACTTAGAGACAAAATAAATTGAGAATTCATTTACAAATATTATTATACCTACATCACAAAAAATAGTGTTAATATTTACTGCAAGTGAGTGTATAACGTATCAATAACATTATCTAATCTTCATATAAAACTAAGAATATTGGTATTTATTACAAGTGACTGTATCATTACTATCTTGATATTCTTATATAACATAGATCAACGCATGTTATTCTCTTCACTGCCGTGTATGGGGTGTCAACGGCTGGGAAACGGACCTAACAAGAACTCCGTGTCACTATCACTGAGGGGACACGTACACAATCAAGCATCTTAATCGTGACAATAAACAAAGTCATGGTGTTCTATTAATGGACAGTAAATAAGAAAAGTTACGTGAAAAAAAAGAATATCGAAAGCTACACCATGTAACTGAATGTATAGTTCTTCCTCAATCCACTAAATTACCTTTTTCTTGTACCTTTAGTCAACATTTATTGTTATTTGTTTTTTTACCCATTGTTTGGATTCTCTTATATAGTCCCTCTCATTCCTTCTTCTCTGTCCTAAAGTAGAATGAATGTTGTTCCCAATTGGTCGATTACACTATCACTTTATAATCTCCCGGGTTCCTCGGGGCTACGTACGACCTTCAACTCTTTTCTTATGATATATTATTAATCTTTCATCGTGAAACAACTCATTTTGATCTTATACAGACGATTCAAACCACTATAGATCTAGGTACACACAAACATTTATTATAATCAATGAAACTGAACTCAAAGACTCGTTCACCTTATATCTCTCTAAAAGTTTTACCATGACAAACTTCGGCAAAAATTTAGTCAAAACTACTTCAGTGAACCTTGGACTAATATTCAGAGATAGTCCCTCAATGGTTTCATTCAACATCGCAGCACAGCACACTCCATTGCTTCCTTTTATTGCAATCAGACTGCCCGCATCTCCGTCTTCCTTGATATCAAGGGAGCCTTTGATACGGCTCAGCCTGCCCTCATTTTAGCTGAACTTGCGTGGTTAGGGGTTAAAGGGAGACTTCTACAATGGATCGTCTCTTACCTCACTGGACGTCAGGCCCGGGTTCGCGTTGAAGGCTCTATGTCTCCTGTTCAAGAAATGAACCTCGGCACCCCTCAAGGTGGAGTCCTGAGTCCCACCTTGTTTAACACTCTGATGCACTCCATTGCATCTCTCCCGTGGCCGACAGAAGTTTTCCACTCAGGATATGCCGACGATGTCCTCCTCCAAGCCCCTGACTACCTCAGCATGCAGGAAGCCCTTGATCTGGTCTCCAGAGAGTGTGATTCACTTGGTTTCCTTCTTTCAATTGCGAAAACAAAAGCCATGTGGCACGGTCGTGTTGTACCTCCACCCCTTCTCTTATCAGGAACGCCCTTAGACTGGGTTAATGAGACAAAATACCTGGGTGTGTATGTAAGTCGCACACGTTGTCAGATCCCTGAAGTCCGCTATCTTCGAGACATATGCTTTCAGCGTCTCGCTCCCCTCTCTACCATGTGCAGGGGTTCCCTTGGTGCCACCATCCCTGTACTTCTCACCATGTACAAGTCCTTTGTCCGTTCCTGTGTTGACTACGCCGCCCCTGCCCTCGTCAACATTAGTCGGATTGCTGTCAACCGTCTCGAAGTTATCCAGAGGAAAGCTGCTCGTATCATCCTTGGGGCTCCTCAGTGGACACGCTCTACTTCTCTATATACCGAACTTGGTCTTTCCCCCTTACAGGATCGTGTCCAGGAGTTTTAACTAAAAACTGCCGTTTCCATTCTACGGGATCCTCGGGGCAACTATGTACAAACCAACTTGACTCCTGCTGTCCGAGACCGACCTCCATCTAGAAGACAGTGGCGAGGGTCACTCATCCGAGCCCTTCAGGGACACGACCTCCTGCCTGATATTGTTGTCACCCCTGCTGTTGGTTCGTCTCCTTCTCCCTGGCTGGATTTTCAACCTGAAGTGATTGCCCTCGGTGGACCGCTCCCGAAATCCCAGGTGAACCCTGTTATTCTCTGCAAATACCACCTCTCCAGGATCGCCCACTGGTCTCCAGGTAGGGTCGTCCTCTACACTGATGGTTCTGTTGACCCCGCTGCAGGTAGGGCCGGGGCTGGTGTCTACATCTCCCGTCCTGATGCCCCTGAGCCTATCAAACTGTTTCTCAGAGTTTCTGACGGGGCATCCTCCACTCAGGCTGAACTAACAACCCTCCTTGCTGCCCTTCTCGCTGAGGAAGAAGCAGATGGTTTCTGCCCCTTGCTTGTCTGCTGCGATTCCAGGTCTGCTCTCGACGGGATCGCATTTGGATCAGGGGAAAATAAGGACCTCATCCTCCGAATACGAGGGTTAACATCCACACTTCAGGATGCAGGCCGTCCTGTGACATTCCTATGGATACCCAGTCATGTCGGTATCTTGGGGAATGAGGCAGCAGATGGCCTTGCCAAGACTGGCTGCAACAAGGCCACACCTGACTACGTTGTTCCTCGAACACTCTTACAGATTAGGACCCAAATTCGCCGCAAACAGAGAGAAGCTCGGGAAGCAGCCATCCCCCTGGACTCCCCGCCCACCTGGTACGATGTCCTCCGTAAACTTCCTGACCTCTCGTACGTCTACGGGAAAGGGTCGCGGAAAGGGGACGTGATTGCTGCCCGTATCATCATTGGGTATGACTTTGCTTGGGAGATTGGTATCCCCGCATCCCCTGAGCAACGCTCTTGTGCATTATGCAGAAGACCCGACAGCAGCACCCTTATCCACTACCTCCTAAGATGTCCCCACACACAACGCTTCCGTGACGCCTGCTGGACCACCACTCCACGACCCCCTGACGGAGACACGATGATCCTCCCCATACTGGCCAGATATTTTGTAAATAATATTGATTATGTGTTAAAGGAATATCCTTCCTTCCTTAGGCTTTAGTAAGCCCCTTTATAATATTTATACTGTATATACTTGACACACTTGCCAGATGCTTCTGGTGTCATTGTACAGGGGTACCTAGTGACAGCAATAGGATCCCGCTTCCTCTATCAAGGAATAAACAATTGAAATTGAATTGAATTGACAAGCCTTACTATACCGAGGCTTTCTTTGCCAATATACAATTGATACTATTCATGTAAGGTTTTTGTGTATGGAATGTAGCTGCCATCTGTGGACTAGGTGTGGTGTTGGGGTACTGTGGGCTGTGTGTGGTGTGTGTGTGGTGTTGGGGTACTGTGGGCTGTGTGTGGTGTGTGTGTGGTGTTGAGGTACTGTAGGCTGGGTATTAAGACACTGTCCTCTCCTTATCGATTCAGTACCACAAAAAAAACCACACAAAAAACAAAAGAACATCACATAAATCAACATTAGTCACCGTACCAAAAATTCTCCAACATTGTATAAGAATATCTCCCCACTTTACCTATATACTCTTGGTACGTATCTTACGTCATCGCCGCCGCACACTTGGGCTCCAGTATTCTGTTGAAATTCGCTTGTACTGAACCTCTACCTACCGAAGATACTCTACATCTAAAATAACACTACAAATATGCAACTCCCTGACTCAGAGTAATTTTTCTTCTATGGTATAACTTCCATCATCTCAGATCATCCTGGTGAAGAAAGATAACTGGGATCTCTCTCTGTGCTTTATATGTGTTAGAATTATTATTATTATTATTATTATTATTATTATTATTATTATTATTATTATTATTATTATTATTATTATTATTATTATTATTATTATTACTATTTTTATTATTGTATTATTATTATTATTATTATTATTATTATTATTATTATTATTATTATTATTATTGTATTATTATTATTATTATTATTATTATTATTATTATTATTATTATTAT